ATTATTTGTTTAATAAGAATTGTTTGACTTTGATTTTTGTGCAAATCATTCACAGACTACCTGGAACCTCTAAAGTCTTTCCATAGACTTAGGAAGGTGTAGTCTACATGTCCTGCTAGTTTCAATCTTAATGGAGCAGATATAACTGTAGAAAAAGTGCCGTAAACTTGGTCACAATTAGGCGACCTAAAATCCTTGATATACGAGAGCTGTTCTCTTTATTTTACCATATACAGATAGAACCAACTCTCCTCCTTGCTATTATTAAGAATGAGCTTCATCTGTGCTTCTGTTTAGGAGATACACATCTACTTGCACAGCCACCATCTTCACTTTTTAGCCACAAAGCAACTTTGATTTTTGTGCAAATCATTCACAGGGGTGCGGGGCCTTTGCCAAAGGGTCTGGTACTGTACTTACCTTTGCTTAATACATTGTGAGACTCCTCAGTTGCTGGGTCTTATTTTATTCAGGTAAATTTCCCCTCAAAGTTGCTATGTTTTTCAGAAATTGCCTAATTATCAGCTTATCAGCTACACGTGGTTCAAATTTCGAATGATTTTAATTATATTCATAAGCCATTGGCAATGAATATCATTTTATCAGTGACGTATCAGGAAGTGAAGCCATAGAGGACCCGTTCACAATTGTGTAGGGCCTTCGTGTAGACTGTTGGTTACCATTGCAAGAAATGATTACCAAATTAACATTCAAAATATTCATGAAAAGTTAATTTTAATAACAATAATAATTAATTTTAATGATTATGATGACTTCCTTTTCCTGTCAAAACTTCAGGGTGGGCATTGCCCCTAAATGCCCACCCCTGGAACCGCCTATGTTCAACTTCAATAATAAAATTGAAGTTAAGGTTCTAAACAAAGTTTGTCTTTAACGGCTTTTGTCCATTTCTTCTTTATCAAGTCATTAACATCAGCTACTGGGCCCCCAACATTCGACAAAGATTTTTAAAACTTGATACAATGCCGTCAAATAGTCTTAGCCTGTGGCTTAACGCAACTAAAAATGCTAGGGATACCAGGAGAGGAGTTACTATTCGTTACACACAGTTTATCAGATTTTAAAAAGAGACTAAAGTGTAGCAAAAGGAGAGGAAGGCCTGGCTCAGCACTAGTTGTCGGAGCTGGTATGACAAGTGCTGACGCTGTGCTATACTGTCTCGATAATGATATTCACGTGAATCACTCCTTCTATCAAGATCTAAGTAAAGCTAATAATCTATTATTATCAAAGCTGCCTTCTGGATACTACTTGGAATATCAGAGGGTATGGAAGCTAATGAAGGGCCTGGAAACCTCTCACCTCTACACTCCACTTGAAGGAACAAGAGTGAGATCCTTTTCCACGAATGGAGAGACGATTCTTACTAGCTCAAGTGAGATAGAACAAAGCCTTGCTACATCAGTAGGTATGATTGCAATCGGGAGTCAAGCAAATTTAGGATTCCTACCTCAAGATATTAGCAGTGTCCTTGGTATCGATCCAAGCCAAGCTATTGACAGTAAAAATAATTCAGTCGATATCGACTCATTCTTGTCCCAGAGTGAGAGGGTTCCTAATCTATATGCACTGGGTCCTTTAGCTGGTGATAATTTCGTCCGATTTTTATTTGGGAGCGGTTTAGCTTGCGCTAAAAGCATCCAAAACTCACTTTGCAAAACCAATCTATCACCAACGCAATCTATACTGTCTTCTACTCAAACAAACGACAGCACAATTTTATAATGGTATTTTGCATTCATCATATTGCAGTACTCCAGTTTTGCCGATCCATATTCATGTTTGATTTGTGTACAATGATCATGTCAATAATGTACAATCGTGTTTTTATCAAATATATTTTCTTTGTTTATTATTATTATGATAATGATAATCATACTCTATTTACATTTTAAACCAGAAAAACAACAACAGTATCATTGTTTTTATTTCTTGTTTATACTCATTTCCTCTTCTTTCTAACCTGGTTTGGGTTTCTATGCCAAGCCACTCCCACTCGACCACGCCCTCCTCCGGCACGAAACGCAATCTGTGCCCCACGACTAGTGACATCGTTAAAAGAAAACGGAGACGTTTGACTGATGTAGTCTGGGTCCAGTGGGTGGGATTTGTTACGAGAACGAGGAAGACGAAATGTGAGTCTTTGGGCCGGAGAAAGGAGGAGCTGATCAGGTCTACGACCACCTTTGGGTAATGGTAAGGAATACTAGAGGGAGAGAGAAAAAGGGGGAGAGAGTGAGAGAGAGGGTGAAAAAGAGGGAGGGAAAAAAGGAGAGAAACAGGAGCAAGAAAAAGGAAAGAAAGGGGGAGAGAGAGAGGGAGGAGAAAAGGAGAGAAACAGGAGGGAGAAAGAAAAAGGAGGAGAGAGAGATAAAAAGAGATTGATCAGACAGATAACATTATTCATAGCTACAATGACATACAATAATACAGACACCATATATGGGCAATCATACCCCACCCCAGACAGACAGCCAAAGAGGACAGAGTTGATATTCATTTAATCAGTTATACACTTCAGCAATTTTTATACAGTCACATACTACACAATATACATGTACAGTACACCAAACAACATTCAATTTATTCATGAACTTATTGACACTGTCATATTGTGATAGGAACAATACTACCCAGGAAAAAAATCTTACGTAAGATCTTACTTAAGATCTTATGAAACCTTAAAATGATCATGCATGATTAATCATGCCTGTTCTTGCCAGATTATTAGACAAGAAGTTCCAAATTCTTGCCAAGATCTTATGATAAATCTTGTCAAGATCTTATGATAAATCTTACATGATCAGACATGATCAGATGATTAATCTTATGCTATCAATCAAGATCAGGAACTAAATCTTACATTATCAGTCAAGATCAGGAACTAAATCTTGTATGATCTTTCAAGATCAGGCAATAAATCGTACATTATCTTGACTTATCAGTCAAGATTAAGAACTCAATCTTGCATAGTCTTTCAAGATCAGGAATTAAATCTTACATTATCAGTCAAGATCAGGAACTAAATCTTGTATGATCTTTCAAGATCAGGCAATAAATCTTATATTATCAGTCAAGATCAGGTATAAATCTTGTATGATCTTTCAAGATCAGGCAATAAATCTTACACTATCTTGACTTATCAGTCAAGATTAAGAACTCAATCTTGCATAGTCTTTCAAGATCAGGAATTAAATCTTACATTATCAGTCAAGATCAGGTATAAATCTTGTATGATCTTTCAAGATCAGGCAATAAATCTTACATTATCAGTCAAGATCAGGTATAAATCTTGTATGATCTTTCAAGATCAGGCAATAAATCTTACACTATCTTGACTTATCAGTCAAGATTAAGAACTCAATCTTGCATAGTCTTTCAAGATCAGGAATTAAATCTTACATTATCAGTCAAGATCAGGTATAAATCTTGTATGATCTTTCAAGATCAGGC